TCTCATTCACATAAGAAATCTCAAACCAAAACTACATAAAAAATAAAAAATAATAAAAACATTTTTCGAACCAATGGCGCGGCCCTTAGAAATTGAATTTAATGATGATTTAAAAAAAAAAAAAATCGATGCACATTAGTCATTAGGTCTCTCAAATTACACTACAGTAATCCTAAGCATCCAAAATCCTTGTCCAAGAGTGCTAGAGGAGGTAAATCGCGAGTCTTCCAATTAGTTATTAGTTTCTAGCCCTATCTATATACTATGCATGCACAAAAGGAGTTTTCATCACCTTTGTTCAATTTTATTATTATTATTATTATTATTATTATTATTATTATTATTATTATTATTATTATTATTATTATTATTATTATTTATTGGGTCTCCTAATAGATAGATTAGATTTTTCTTTAGAAAAAAAAAAAAAAACTTCACAAATATCCAATTATTATTATATTGACCATGATCCACAAAATTATGTGGACCATAAATAAAAATTATATTTTTAATATACTAAGGGTACATTATTTATGTACGTAAGGTACATTTTTTGAAAATACATTTTTAATATATTACTTTTAATATATTAAAAATGTACTTGATATTTATGGTCCACACAATAATTTGCCACAAACCTCCCATTGACCAAAGTATAATTCACATCCAAATTGGAGACTATACACACGCATGTATTAAAATACTATTTACTAATGCCCATGTATATATTCTAGTTCTAGGATAAGCATGTCTGCATGGTGTATATATGTACTCTCAATGTGGTCCTCTTTTAAGTTGCGTGTTTAATCATATTTACGTGCTTAATGAACTAAGCATGCTTAATTCACTATCGTGTAATTAATAAACATCTTTTTAAATTTGTTAAAGTATCGTTGTCTTATTTATTTCCAATCTAATAAAAAGACAAACAAAAAAAAAGGGAAAAAACTCTTGAGTCGATATAAATAAATAATAAAAAACCACATGTAAATTTTAGTAGGATTTTATTTCAAATTGGTCCCGGATGAGCATTGATAAATAGTTGGGAGTTGCAACAATTATAAATGCAATCAATAAATGTGTACTCAAAATTAAAATTTTAGAAGTGTGTTATGATTGCACTACTACACAGATGACCTTTAACGTCGGTTTTTTAGGTCATTTAACGTCGGTTAAAAACTAACGTTGTTTTGGCAAACGCTATAAACTAACTATACGACGTCGGTTATATATATAACCGGTGTCTTATATTATTTTTTTATTTATTAAATATAACTTATGACGTCATTTATTAATACATAACAGACTTTATATATAGTTGTTTAATTTATTTTTATTTTTTAATAACATAACACGTCGGTTTTTTTTGCAAAAAACCGACGTAGTATATTTTAATAACCGACGTCGTTTGTATTTTTTTTTTAAATAACATACCACGTCAGTTTTTTGTAAAGAATCGACGTGTTATGTTATTAAAAAAAAATTAGTGCCTACAACCAGGGAACTCGAGACTCAAATAGTGCCTCCATGCGTCAAGGTAGGTCGTGCGTGCGGGAAGGTGGAAATGCGGTGAGAGGGGAACGCGATGCGGCGGTGCATCTGTGGTCCTGTGCGGGGGAGGGTGTGTTGCGGTGGCTGTGCTGCAGGCGTTCAAACTTCGTTTGGGGAGAAGAAGAAGACGAAGGGGATGGCGGTACGTGGCTGTGCGGGGCAGTGTGGCGGTGCGGATGGCAGTGGCTGAGCGTCAATTTGTGGTGGGACGGAGAGGAGAGGCTGTGCGGTGGTTATTGGTTTAATTGTTTGGCTGTGCGAAGTCGATTTGTGAGGCCTAGAAATTTAAAAAAATAATAATAATAACAATATACGACGTTGGTTTTGCAAAAAAACCGATGTCGTATATGAAATATAAAAAAAAAAATCTAAAATTGCTACGACATCGGCAACTATGTAGATAGCCGATGTCATTTTGTTGTCTTTTTTATTTTTTATTTATAATGTCGGTTATTAATAAATAACCGACGTTATATGTTTTTTTATTTTTTTTTATAAATTCAATTAACCTTTATCGTCGGTTACATATAAAACCGATGTTATATGTAAATTCTGTAGTAGTGTTGAAACAATTACAAATACAATCGTTGATATGTAATAGTGCATTACACTATTGTATATAAACGATTGCACTCATAGATGTTGTACGATTAACTTTAAATTTGAAATATTTATTAAGAACAAATTGCACTTTTGGTCCTGTGAGTATTAGGGTACTGACAATTTGAGTACGTGACTTTCAAAACTCCCAATTTAAACCTTTAACTATGCAAAAATTGGCAGATTTGGTCCTCCGGGCCAAATTGCCGGCCAATTTTGGCCGGAAAAACATAAATTGGTTCGAATTTATTTGTGTTGAGGGCAAAATCGTCATTTCACTCCCTTCTTCTTCATTCTCCCTTTCTTCTTCGTTCTTCTTCTTCTTTTTCTTCTTCATTCTTTTTTCTTTCTTCTTCTTTGCTGCTTCTTTAATCTATTACTTGTAGCTTTTGTTATCATTAATAATTTATTTTGAATTTCTAAATTGTTAAAGAATATATTAATCATTTCGCAAAATTTTCTTAAATTCCCTTCATGAAATAATCTTCATATATAAATCACTATATCCACACGCTTATGAAGATGCCTTCCGAGCTTCTAAGAACGAACAGGGCGTCGCCGACAGTGGCGGAGACGGAGAGGGACCTCAGCGGCGGCTTGCCCAGGCAGAGCTCGGAAAGTTCATGAGCCAACAATATATGTTTATGTATTTATTGATTACATATATGTTTTTATGTACAACCGTATTATTTTTATGTATTTAGGAGAATGGAAAATGGGTGATTGTTGGATTTACCAAATTTGGTTTGAGAGAAATTTAGATGATTTTTTATTATTATTAAATTAATTAATCATGGCTCATGCATTGTATTGGGTCGGTAAAAAAAGCAGCAAAGAAGAAGAAAGAAAGAAGAAGAAGAACGAAGAAGAAAGGTAGAATGAAGAAGAAGGGAGTGAAATGACGATTTTGCCCTCAACACAAATAAATTCGAACCAATTTATGTTTTTCCGGCCAAAATTGGTCGGCAATTTGGCCCGGAGGACCAAATCTGCCAATTTTTGCATAGTTAAAGGTTTAAATTGGGAGTTTTGAAAGTCACGTACTCAAATTGTCAGTACCCTAATACTCACAGGACCAAAAGTGCAATTTGTTCTATTTATTAAAGTGTAACCACATATTATCCCTTACTTTAAAGTCATGCATGCATTGATCATCCTAAATTACTGGAAGATAGATTTGGTCTGTAGTTCTTACATAAAGCTTGATTCTTACATGATTATATATATAAAGTGTCATCACATATTTTCCCTTACTTTAAAGTCATGCATTGGTCATCCTAGACTACTCACAGCTAGAATTGGTCTGTAGTTCTTACTTAAAGCTAAGTTTGATTCTTACATGATCTCTCTCTCACACACACACACACACACACACACACACACACACACACACACACACATATATATATATATATATATATATATATATATATATATATATATATATTATATCAACTAAGAGCATCTCCAATGTGGCGGTATATCTGCAAATTCCAACGCCATCCCTCCATTTCCTCAAATTTTTGCTCTCCAAGGTGAAGCAGCAAAACGGCATAACGCCAATATTTTTAGCGTTGATGAACAGTGCCGCGCCATATATATGGCGCGGCACTGTTCAATATGGCGCGGCACTGTTCATCCACAGCAAATCTAAAATGGGGAGGAAAATTACAATTTTGCCCTTGCTTTTTTTAATAATTCCAAACGTATCCTTTATTTGTTTTATATATAATTTTTTATTTTGTTAAATACTTATATTTAAAGTTTGTATTATTAAATATAAATTATACCATTTTAAAGATCTCATCGAGACGATCGAAACAAGACTAATATTGAATATATATTAATTAAAATTTTAAATACATCAAACATAACTAAAACATAATAAAAATTAAAATATATATTATTATTGTGGAATAAATTAAATTTTCAAAAATATTGTTAAATTTTATTTTTAATAATTAATGCTATAAAAAATTAATATTAATATAAATTATTATTTACATCACAAGTTATATTTTATATTAAACTAATTAAGTTAGAACAAAATTATATTAAACTAATTAAATTTGAATTAATAATTGAGAAATTAAATTATTTTAGTGTAGAAATTTGGTGTTTTGGTGTAAATGGATTAGAGATGAATAAAATTTGGTGTGAGAAGATGTTGAGGATATTTTTCTGATATGACATTTGGTGAAGAAATTTGATATTTTGGTGTTAAAGTGGGTTGGAGATGCTCTAATATCTACTCTAACTTAGTTGCATGGATACAATTGGCTGACTAGCTATGATATGTATTAACTAATACCTATACCTTAGTCGTAGGATACAATTTCAAATTGCTCCTAACTAGCATGTGAGAAATTGTGGAGATTAAACAATAGGTTGGACTTTTCTTTAACTAAAGAACAAAATGACTTAAATAATATATCTAGTTTGCATGCATGACTTTTTGTGATGAACCTAATCCTAAAATTCTAACTAATAATCTCAATTATTTAATAGTATTCAATTCCAAATTGCTCGTTTGTAAGCATGTGATTATTGTTTAGAATGCACGGCTATATATCATCTCCTTTGATTTCATAACTTTTCACACCATCGCAACCAAAAAAAAAAAAGTTTTTTTTTTTTGAAAGGAAGGTTTTTTTTTTTTTTTTTTTTTCTTTTTATAAATGCATATCAATTCGAACAATTTGTTGAAAAAATTGACTAGTTTGGGATTAATCTCCTGTAACTCTTGAATAAAATATTGTGCATTAGCCACCCAAAATAGAATGTATTGCCATTTTCAAATAAATATTTAATACATCTTTTTTTTTTTTGAGCAAGAAATAAACAATTCATTAAATCAAATGCGCGATACAAGAAGGCGGGTGGTCATCCCACACACCAAGGACAGATAACGAAACAGTCGCCCTCGCCAGCGCGTGAGCCACATGGTTCCCTGACTTACGGACATGGCGAACCTGAACGTTCCCAACGTCCCTAGCAATGGATTGACATTGCTTTACAACTAAACCAACATACGATAAATCTAGAAGTCCAGAATTGTAACTAATACAAAAAGCTTGACAATCTGTTTCGATGATGACTTCCCGGATGGATCTACTCTTGAGCCATGAGAGAGCTTCTTTCACCGCCATCGTCTCCGCCAAATAAGGAATTGGTGCACAAGAGAGTTTACCACTGCGGGCAGCGACAAATTGACCGGTGTGGGCACAGATAACTGCTCCGTATCCTACGTCCTCCCCCTTCAATGCCGCGTCGACGTTGCAACGTAAGATGGACCTCGGCTGTCGGTGCAGAATGTGGGTAGAGCATGAAGGCCGGGGACTCCTGTGTGAGTCTGAGTTCACATACGTGTCTGTCCAGAGCTTCACCAATTCATTAATATCCTTCAGCAGTTTCGAAAGTGGCCAAGCATTGCCATTCCAAACCATCTCATTCCTTGCAAGCCAAATAACCCAAAGGCCTGCAACTGCATTTAGAGCATAATTAGGCGTACTGCGTAGATTAGCCTCCATCATATCAACAAAAGAGACACCACCTTTAATTTGGACAGAATTCCAGACTTGAATGGCCACTGTGCAATCACAAAATAAATGCGAGATTGATTCCTGGTCGGCGATGCATAATGGACAACCTCCACCAATCCACACCCCTCGAACCTGAAGGTTTTCACGGACCGGTAGCAAATTCGAGACGCAGCGCCAAAGGAAATTTCTGATCTTTGGGGGAACAGGCAACGCCCACAACTTCTTCCATTCTCCAAATCTGCCATCATAGTTAGAATGGAGCAGCTGGCTAGTGCGAAGATGATATCCTTGCTTGACCGAATTGATTCCCCGCGAGTCCCCCCTCCAGCACCATGTATCCGTGTATGAAGGAGAAATAGGAGTGTTCATAATCCTCTGGATATCCTCCTCAATGAAAATATCACGCAGCAGCTCCTCATCCCATTTGCCATCCGCTGTCAGAAGATTACTTACAGTAGCGTCTTTTAGTTGTTCAATACGTGGTGTATGAATAGTGGGATCCCCTGAGTCTATCAGCCATGGCCAGCCCCATATTAGAGTGTCTCGCCCATCACCCACCCTCCGCGACACGCCTTGTCGCAACACATCCTGCCCGGCTAGGATGCTACGCCAAAGGAAGCTCGGGTTGTGCCCCAACTTGGCATCAAGAAAACAATTCGTAGGGAAATACCGAGCTTTGAGAAGTCTAGCCACCAGAGACTCGGGATTCATCAAGAGGCGCCATCCTTGCTTTGCCAATAGCGCCAGGTTAAAATCATGGAGGCGCTTGAAACCCATCCCACCACTGCATTTTGGGGTTGCCAACCTAGTCCAGCTCATCCAATGAATACCTCTGTTGCCCGACCCGCCACTGTTCCACCAAAAACGGTTCATTAGCTTTTCAATAGCGTCACAAACTCCTAATGGAAGAAGGAAAACAGACATGGCAAAAATGGGCATGGCTTGAGCTACGCTTTTTAAAAGAATCTCTTTGCCTGCTCTACTCAAAAAATTTTCCTGCCACATAGTAATCCTATCCCGAACCCGTTGCTCAATATATCGAAACACCTCAGATTTGTTTCGCCCAAGGAACGATGGGAGTCCCAAATAACGGCCAAAATCCTCTGTCTGCCGCACCCCAAACACACCTGCCACATGGGAACGCATATCCATCCCAGTATTTTTGCTAAATAAAATATTAGATTTGTCAAAATTGATGAGTTGGCCCGAGGCAGCACAATAGCGGTCTAAACATGATTTCACCACCTGAGCTTCACAATCTTTCGCCTTGAAGAACAGAAGGCTGTCATCTGCGAAAAAGAGGTGCGAGATCGAGGGAGCCCCTCTCGCAACTTTGATCCCATGGATATTGCCACCAGCTTCCTGTTGGTACAGAATAAGAGACAGACATTCGGCACAAACAATAAATAGATACGGCGAAATCGGATCCCCCTGTCTAATTCCTCTTGTTGGAGTCACTGCACCGGCAATTTCCCCATTGACCAGGATATTATATCTGACTGTACTCACACACAATAACACCAAGTCCACCCATTCCCGGGCGAATCCCAGTGCTGTTAACATACCTTGCAAGAAACCCCATTCCATACGGTCGTAAGCCTTGGCCATGTCCAGCTTCAAAGCCGCCCAACCGTCTTTACCCCCATTCTTTCTTCGCAAATAGTGCCCTACTTCCCCGGCCACAATAATATTGTCTGTAATTAATCTATTCGGGACAAAGGCACTTTGTGACGGTGAAATAATAACATCAAGAACAGCTTTTAACCGGTTTGCTACCACCTTAGCAATCACTTTGTACGCAACATTGCACAAAGCAATCGGTCTCAAATCAGAGACCGTTTCGGGGACTTTCTTCTTTGGAATCAAAACAATGTTTGCTTCATTCAGGCCAATTGGAAAGTCACAATTTGTGATGCAATCCCGCACAAAACGTGTGAGATCTTCCCCCACAATTGACCAGAAAGATTGGTAGAAAGCGGGAGTCATCCCGTCAGGTCCCGGAGATTTATCCGGTGACATGGAAAAGAGCGCTTGCTGCACTTCATTAGGCTCAATCGGCCGCAGAAGTTCAGCATTCATAGCCTCAGTAATACATGTCGGCACCCTATTCAAAAGGGCAATATCACATGATTGCGTTTGAAAAATAAATTCATAGTACCTCAAGATTTCATCATGCATGTTCTGTCCCTCTGCCCAGGAGCCCGTGATGTCTCGGACACGCCGTAGAGCATTGTTACGTTTCCTGGTCGTTGCTGTAGCGTGGAAAAATTTAGTGTTACGATCTCCGGCTTCCAGCCATAATTGCTTGGATCGTTGCCTCCAGTACAGCTCTTCCTGCGCATAAAGATTGCGGATTTCACATTCCACATCCCGTAGTCGTGTCAAATCTGCTTCCCGGTAACTGCCTCTCAGATTCTCAAGCAGTATGAGCAGTCCCCGTAAACGCCGCCCAAACCGTTGCGCATAATCCCCTCCCCATTTCCGTAACGCTTCTCCGCACCTTGCCACCTTCTGCTGGAAGGTATCCCCGCGTTGACGGCCCCAGTTTAATACATCTTTGATTTACAAAAAACTCCATAGTTACTACCTCCTAGCTGGGAAAAGACAATAAAGAGGTAAATCAGTCTAAGTTGTACATAGTTGACCGATTCAAACTAAGAAGGCCAATAAATAATTCTCACGGGACTCAAATTTTAAACAATTTCCGTAGTGTCCAGGGTTATACATGCATGAAAAATCACTATTAATATTTTCTAAACCCATTTCAAATGTTTTTTTATTACAAAGGAAGGGGATACCCATACAACCTATGCCTACAACAAGGCTTGAAACCTAGATCTCACACATAGGGGAGCAATCCAATACCAGTGGACCACAAGCCATTTGGTACCCCTTTCAAATGTTAATCACATATAAAGAAATTATGGAATTAACGCACACTTAAATGGTAATTCATCAACTACCATGTAATGTAATGACATCTCGATTATCATTCAAAATGAGTGGTCATAGATTCGTACCCCGGTGATGAGGTGTATTAGATTCTTTAAGTAGAAAATGTTTGAGAAATTATATAACAAATATTACCTTATAAAGAATCATGAATATTTTTTTAAAAAAAAAACTTAAATTCATGTCAAATATAACAACATATAGTTCTACATAGTATTTTATTTTATTTTATTTTTTAAAATTTTCGGAACAAAATTTTGGTCTTCAATCATACTAACTTTGAATTTTTTTTTTGTCAGATCAGGTGTCCTGAGCAGGCCTTAACTGTAGAAGACACCCTTAAGCTCGTACTATACTCAGACAGTTGTTATATCGTGGACCGCGGTGCATAATCGATTATGCACCGCGCATCAAAACGTCGCCGTTTCTTTAAGTAAAGAAACTGCGCGCTGTTAGTGTTAACGGAGTGACACTACAGTGTATCTAAACCGACACTGTCTCACGTATTATTTTTATATTGTCAAATGAAACTACATTTATATCAAAAATGATACTGTAGTTGTGGTGAAATGAAACTGCAGTATATATAAAATGAAACTGAATAACATTTCACATATTTGAGTGTATATTGTACAATGAAGCTGTAATTATATCGAAATAATCATGTAGTTGCGTTTTAATGAAACTATAGTGTATATATAATATAAAATTAAATAACGTTTTCACATATTTGAGTGTATAAATATTGAATGAAACTTTAGTTATATCGAAATAAAATTGTAGTTGTGTTGAACTGAAACTGCAGTGTATACAAAATGAAACTGAAGAACAGAGTTATTTTTTGCGGAACGGCGCAAAACGGATTCCGTTTCTTTTCATTAAATAAAACGACGTCGTTTTGATGCGCGGTGCATAATCAATTATGTACCGCAGTGCGCGATATAATTTGCCATACTCAGACTAATCCTCATTCGCACCGGGTCGACCCAATTAAGGGGCAAAGTGCTGGCTAGATTAGTAGTGCTTGCCAGATTAGTTTTTCCATACGAGAGGGGGTTCAAACTCCCGACCTCTCTTAAAGGTTGAGAGTGCACAGCCACTCACACCAACCAAGCGAGTTTAAAATTCAACATTAGTTTTGCAATGCTCCAATATCTCTCAATTTTCGCCATGTACAATACCCAAAAGAAATACCTTATGGAATTAAGACATACTAAAACTAAAGTCGAATGGAGCAACACATAATTCACATTGGCCCTGTTTGGTAAAAAATTGGCTTATTTATAGGTCAATTTTGACTTTTTTTTATCACTATTAATTGTTTGATTTAATTAAAATATCAATATAAGTGTTTGATTAATTAATTTTTTGCAACTTCAAAATGCTAAAATTCAAAAAGCTACTCTAAACAACTTTTCCAATTAGCTTTTTTAGAAAAGAAATTATACCAAACAACTATCAGCTAACAACTAATTTACCATACACTTTTCTACAACAGCTAATGTTATTAACTAGTTATTCCCTCTAATTAACACAATCAGCTAGCAGCCATTTACCAAACAGCGTCATGTTTTTGTTAAGTTACCTATGATAAAAACCAATGGAAAAAATTTTAATGTGCTTAAAAAGAGAACGTACATTTCAACAACATATTTCATCTTCTTTAAATATATTTATAGCCAAAAAATTTTAATGTGCTTAAAAAGAGAACATACATTTTTTTTGGTGTAAACCACAATATGGTCCTGGTCTTAAAGAGAACGTACATTTCAACAACATATTTCATCATCTTTAAATATATTTATAACCTCCCCCCCCCCCCCCCCCCCCCCCACCCCACACACATATGTGTGTGTGTATATATAAATAAATAAATAAATAAATATAATATATATATATATATATATATATATATATATATATATATACATATATATATATATATATATATATATATATATATATATATATATATAATAATAAAGTTTCTTATAAAGTTTTTGAAAATCTTTTTACAAACTTTATGGGTAAACTCAAAAAATTATTTTCTCATTTATTCATTATCCATTTTAAGTGTATCTATATGAGAAATTCATATCATTATATAGGAGAATTTGAATCCACCTTGATATAGTTCAAATCGGTAGTAAGTAAACCCACATAAAATAATTATTCAAAATAACCATTCATATATCAAATTTTATCAATTTTCTAACATTATAACTAATAAAATTATTTCTCTTAATTAATTTATTGATAATGAATTTTTTTTTTTTAATAAAGACATTGTAGGGACAATGTAGCGAACATAATCAATTGATAAATTTGAATGTAAAGAATTTTTATACTGGAGAAAAATAAAGACAATATAACTAATTAAATTATTTCTCTTATTTAATTTATTGATAATAAATTTTTTTTTTAATAAAGACATTGTAGACACATGCATAATTCTAAATTAAAGAAATGCATATGTATTATTTTTTGTTGTAGCTACTAAATTATTGGACATTATCCCAATTGTGCAATGCACGTAAAAAATAATAATTAATATCAATAAGAATTAAAAGAGTTGTAGCTGGTGGTGTTTTGTTTTATAATGATTTAGTACTAAAATAAAATAAAAAAGATATTAATTAAAGGACATTTTTTTTAGTATTGTAAGCAAACTTTTAAAATATTTTATAAATGGCATGAGTACAATTCTCACTAATAACATTTTGATCTCTTATTATAATAATAAAATTGCATGGTGTAGATTTACATGTATCCTTTGGGGAGAAAATGAAACTCCATTTATTTGCCTATAGAATATCTAGTTATAATTTCATTTTCTATGGTGGGTGATATTTTGCTATAACATTACCTAAATCATTAAGAATTATAAAATAGCACAACATTACCTAAATCATTAAAAATTACAAAATATCACCAATTAGTGCATCATATACATTTTAGAACGAAAGACATATTTTGTGGAACCCTTTCACGTCGTTATACATTGTGCATGCCAACTAATGGCCAAAAAAGTGTCACATTATATTTTTCTTTTTATTTTTACTCATTCACATATTAATTCTAATTTTATTGTATATTTAATAATTGCATAAATTTTTCATGATATATAATTTTCCAATTAACTCATGGAAAGATTATCAATCAATTCATAAGTAATAAAAAAATATGAATATATTTTATTTTTTAAATCTTATAAATAATGTCATATTAGGAGGCAAACGTTAGAGTAAGATTGGAATGGAAAATAGCATTTTTCAATAGAAAATATATCCAAATTAAATTATATTTAAATTTATAATAAATATTGAATTATTTAAAATTTTATTGTTCTATATATATTTTTTAAGTCAAGAAATGGGATGAGTGCACTCAATGATATTGATTTGTGGTTAGGGTTGAGGGGGTGGAGATTCCAATAAGGGTAGGTAAATAGATATTAGTTGGTAAAATTAATAATTACAATTGAATTAGAATTGGTTACTTAGATTTACGAAAAAGTTTATAATTGCTATTTGAAAATTCATTTTGAGATTTTTGGATAAAGTTTATATTTTGAGTTATGACCTTGTCAGTAAAGGATCATAATAAGATTAAACAAACCAACCTACGTTATCTATAATTAATTATTTCAAACAGAGAAGACTTATAAACAACGAACTCTCACAAATGAACTCTTGTGATTAGCGAGCCAATAAAGAAGGTATAAGTAGGCCAGGTGGGGCGTAGTATATAAAGAAGGTAACATGCATAGATAGAAGTGAGTCTCTAAGCACTACTGATATAGGTAAGGTGTTTACAATTAAAAATGGAGTAACTAATAATGCATTTGCAATTATTATAATATGCAAATAAAAATTAAATATAATAAATAATAAAGAAAAAATGGAGTAACTAATAATGCGTTTACAATTAAAATGTTTTTCTTTTGTTATTTATATTTTATTTTTAATTAAAATTTATGTATTAAAAAATTAAATGAAGATATGGGAATGCCGCATTACCAAAAATAATAATTAATTAGTTTAACTGCACTAATATAATTTCATTTCCTATGGTTGGTGATATTTTGCTATAACATTACCTAAATAATTACAAATTACAAAATAGCACAACATTGCCTAAATAATTAAAAATTACAAAATAGCACCAATTAGTGCATCATACATTTTAGAATGAAAGACACATTTTGTGGAGCCCTTTCACATCGTTATACATTGTGCATGCCAACTAATGGCCGGAAAAATGTCACACTATATTTTTCTTTTTATTTTTACTCATTCACATGTTAATTCTAATTTTATTGTATATTTAATGATTACATAAATTTTTCATGATATATAATTTTCCCATTAACTCATGGAAAGATTATCAATCAATAAAGATGCAGTTGTTATACCGCAAGGTGAATCTTGATCCTAAATTGTGTTTTTTAGTATTAGAATTGTGAACATCTATAATATAAATTGTGTTTTTAAGTTTTGAGAATCTATGAATACATGCAATAATGGTCATCACAAATTGTAAACATTTAGTATATAAATTGTATATTTTTGGACTCGGGTCCACAGAATAATTTGCCATAAGAATGGGAATAGGTCAGGACCCTATAAAGGGGCCTATGATCTGGCCTAATTAAGGCTTAGTTAGGCTTGACTTGTTTAGTAAAAAGGTCAGACTTGAGCTCATTTCAAAGCTTGTTAAATTAAACAAGTCATGTCTATATATACCAAGCCCGGCCTACAGGCTTGACCTATATATATATATATATATATATATATATATATATATATATATATATATATATATATATATATATATATATATATTCTATTGAAAATATATATAGGGAAGGGATCAGGTGGGGGTGGGGATGGTGCTTCCCGTGAGGTTGTGCGGGTGGACTCACATTAACCATTACACTGGCTCACTTTAAGTACACAACAGACGCACATTAAACGCACAAACAAAATACATTCAGAACACAAACTCACGCACCTTAAGCACAAAACTCACGCATCTTAAGCACAACCCTCACGCACCTTAAGCACAAAACTCATGCACCTTAAGCACAAAAATACACGCACCTTAAGTTTTAACAACAACTAACATTAAGTACACACTCACGCACATTAAGTACAAAACTCACGCACCTTAAGCACAAGACTCACGCACCTTAAGCACAAAACTTATGCACATTAAGCACAAAACTCATGCACTTTAAAGTTTCAAATACAACTCACATTAAGTACACACTCACGCACATTAAGCATACAACTCACGCACCTTAGGCACAAGACTCACGCACCTTAAGTACAAAACGCACGCACATTAAGCACTACACACTCACACACATTAAGCACAAACCTCACGCACCTTAAGCACAAGACTCACGTACATTAAGTACAAAACTCACTTCACATTAATCACCGGGACAACCGCACGGGAAGCATTCACCTGCACTGGAACTTTTATATATATATATATATATATATATATATATATATATATATATATATATATATATATATATATATATATATATATATATATATATATATATATATATATTTATTTATTTATTTATTTATTTATTTATTTATTTTTAATATTAAGTTAGTATATATATTCTATTTTATACCTAATATATTTTTATATTTACAATATAACCTCAAGTATATATAATTATCAAACGGTAAATCTCCACCTCCAAAATCCCATTCTAAATTTTAATTTAATTATAAAGATTGTTGCTAATTCTGCTATAAGTGTTCTTATTGTTTAATTGTTTATTAATTGTTGTTACTGTTATAATATTTAATGAAGTGTCGCGACTTAATTATGTGAGTTGATTGTTAACTAGCATGTTGAAGTCGTAACTTGTTTTATTTTATTTTATATTTTAATGCTATTATGTTTGCATTGTGGTTATATACTTATGTAGTTATGTATTAGGTATATTTCTTAAATTATTTAAAAATATTTATTACAATTTTTAAAAAGACTTAACATGTAATCTTTTAATAGGCTCAAAGAGGACTTACTTTGAAACCTTTATAATGGCCTACATATTAAACATGCTTTTAAAAAGGTTTCAGGCTAAGCTAGACCAATTGTAAGCTTAGGTTTAAGCCTAACAATCCTACATACGGGCTCAGGCCGAGATCCAGGCCTTAGATTTTCATAACAAGTTCATGCTTAATTTTTTAAAGCTTGGCTCGACTCGACATATTTTCATCCCTATCAATCAATTCATAAGTAATAAAAAAAAAATGAAGGTATTTCATTTTTTGGAATCTTATAAATAATTTCATATTAGGAGGTGAATGTTAGAATAAGATTGGAATGGGAAATAGCATTTTTCAATAGAAAATATATTCAAATTTATAATAAATTGAATTATTTAAAAATTTATTGTTTTACTGATTTTTTTAAAAAAGTCAAGAAATGTGATGAGTGACAATGATATTGATTTGTGGTTAGGCTGGAATTATCCTGTTTCCATTTGCAAAATGATGTGGCATTTTGCCACATCATTTTTACTTCTTTTTTTTGAACAAGATTTGTAAATTTGTGTTTTTTGTCAATTTGTAAACTGTTGCGGCAGCTTTTGTATTTTTTTTTACTTTATAATATTTTAATATCAGTAATATAAATTAATAATATTATTTTAATATATTGGGACCCAGTTTTAAAAGTTAATTGGATTTGCAAGAATGTGACGTGAATAGTGAATGATTTGTAAATTGGGTGATGTGAAAGTTTGACCCATTTTTAAAAGTGAGAAAGATTTGCAGTGATAATGTTAGCCTCAGGGGTGAGGGGGTGGAGATTCCAATAAGGGTAGCTAGCCAAGCTAGGTAAATAGATACTAGTTGGTAAAATTATTAATTATAACATGAATTAGAATTGGCTACTTAGATTTACAAAAAAGTTTATAATTTCTATTTGAAGATTTATTTTGGGATTTTTAGATAAAGCTCATATTGTGAGTTGTGACCTTGTCAATAAAGGATTAACTGGACAATAATGAGATAAATCAATCTATGTTATCCATACTTAACTATTTCAAACAGACAAGTTAGGCTACTAAACAACTCTTACAAAGAGTTAAGTTAAACTTGAACTCTTGTAATTAACAAGCCAACTATTTGACTAATTCAATTGGAGCTGCTCATTTTTAGTAGTGGTGACTTGTGAGGTATAAGTAGGTGGGGTGTAGCTAGTATATAAATAAGGCAACATGCATAGATAAAAGGGATGAGTCTCTAAGCAGTAAGCACTAGTGATCGATATAGGTAAGGGATAAAGTTATCTGGATAAAAATCATTAAAATGTTAAGAATATATTTATATTGTCATGTTAAATGATATAGCATTTTTGTCCCAATAACATGATCCAAGTAAGCAAGGGAGAGAGGTGAGTATAATAAAAATAGATATGTAGTATGTAGGGTTGGTTTGTATTAACGCATTATCTAAAATTCATCTTTGGAAAATAGATCAAAAGTACCTAAAATGTCTGCATATGCTATATTATCTTGTTGGGGTTTTTATACTTAAAAACATAATAAAATTAAGGACAAAAATCAACGATATTAAATAAACCGTTACCTTTAATTTGCTTATGCATCAATAACATAATCATGTCATAATATATGCTGACACAACAATTGTTACATCAGTATTTTTTGAAGGTCAACCAATGGGTTGTATTCATAGATAAACTGAAATAAAGTCAGGTGAGACATCGTCCCAGTACATCGCAGCAGAAAGCGTAAAAGCTGTAGTAGCTAAGGTATGGGCTAATAAGTTCTGCAATCTAGGAATAAAAATAACAGAGCAAGAATTAAACGCATACATATAAATTCTGCAACTATCTATGGCATAGCCAGTTTATGAACGAGATGGGTTGTCCGGTGCGGATAGGTAGCACTGTAACGTATGACAATCCGTATATAGCTGTATAGACTGTTCACCCCGGGCCTTTAGCCAAGAGAGAGCCTCTTTACATGCAAACGCTTCAGCCATAAGTGGGGAAAAACAACTTAGAATAGGCGTGCTGAAAGCCTCTATAAAACGATCGTTGGCATCGAGTAGGACCGCCCTGACCGTAGCCGAGTTTGTTCCCTGGTGATACCCGGCATCCACATAACACTTCTTCGGCCTTACTATATTTGGTTGGTGCGGCGGTGAACCATGCAAATGGTTGGCAGTGGCGTGAGGCAGCATGTGGTGTGGCGGAATTTGGTTCGTCGCATGGTGACTCGGCAGTGGCGGTGCTGTAATAGTGTGGCCGTGAGACTGCCGGGCAGTGGTTCGGCTGTGGGCACTCCGCCATGCATTCATGGTGGCAGTGGCCGCCGCAAGAACAGACTTTGGTCGCGGTAGACAGACATCCCACACAGCTCCATTCCGTGCTCTCCAAATATGATATAAATTTGCAGCTGCGTAAATAATTTCATTAGTGTCTAGAACATTCATGATTGCAATAAACCATTCATAGAAAATATTTGTTATAATATTCTTCCAAAAGGCTGAACCCCAACCCTAAGTATTTGTTACTCCGTATAATATTGGGGAGTGGTAGGTTGGATTGAGACCATATGGAGCTTGCATAGCCACACAATACTAATGAATGCATAGCATCCTCATTCATGATCCTACACATGGCACACATCAGATCAACTTCCACTCTCTTTATAAGCAAATTATTGGTAGTGGGTAGGATATCACTAATAGCTCTCCATAGGAAGGTTTTCCATTTGGATGGAATTTTTAATTTCCATAAAGTGGTCCAATTGCTAAATGCCCCATCATTATTATTCTCATAATTTCCAATAATGCATCTATAGCCATTCTTGACAGAGTAACAACCATTCAGATCCTTATACCAATACCACATATCATCATAATCTGGAGAGATCGGAATTTTTAGGATTTTAGGTATATCAACTGGCAGGAAAATATCAGTGAGAATATGTTGGTCCCATGAACCAGTATCCTGGTCAATCAACCCCTCAACCCTTGCTCCAGCTAACTGTGGTGGCATCTCAGTTTGAATCATAGGATTCTGTTCATCCTGTAGCCAAGGGTGTTCCCAGATTAAGATAGATTTTCCATTCCCAACTCGCCGTCTTACCCACTGCATATTAAGTTCTTAGCTGCCATAATACTGCGCCAGCAATAGCTGGGATTATTTCCTAGATATGCCTCAGAAAATGTATCCTTAGGATAGTATCTGGCCTTATAAATGTGCGACACCAACGAATCAGTGTTAGTAAGCAATCTCCATGCCTGCTTACCTAGCATTGCCAAATTGAAAGCACTCAGATCCTTGAACCCCAGGCCCCCATGTTTTTTCGAGATGCATAACCTATCCCAAGCCTTCCAGTGAATTCCCCGATCAGTTCCTGATCCCCACCAATAGCGGTTCATTACCCTTTCAATGGCTGTGCAGACAGATGTAGGTAGTAAAAAAACACTCATTGAAAAGGTAGGCATGACTTGAGCTACACCTTTCAATAAAATTTCCTTCCAGCTTGAGATAACAACTTCTTGTTCCATGAACCAATTCTCTGAATTAATTCACTAATTGAATTAGGATTAATTACTCAATTAATCCGTTAATTGAATTTGGATTTTGGGGTGTCACATTCTCCGTCCAAGTAGCTGCAGAAGATGGCCACTAGTTTTTTTTTTTTTTTTTTTTTTTTTTTTTTTGTAATTTTTTTAAAATCAATTTTACATGTTATTACCATGTGTTTAACTTCAAATTGAACTAATTGCACAAATTTAAGAACTTAGGCAAATTATTGTGTGGACCATGGTCCACACATTGTTGTGTGGACCATAACAAAAAGTACATTTTTAATATACTAAATGTACATTATTTGTGTACTGAATAATGTACACTCAATACACAAATAATGTGCATCCCCTGAATACAATGTACATTTTTAATATACTAAAAGTATATTATTTTTGTACTGAATGTACACTATTTTACAGTATACAAAATATGGTCCACACAGCCTGTGTGGACCATAGTCCACACAATAATGATTGAAGAAGTTATGAACTTAATTGCATACAAGTAAAGAGATGAATGAGCTTAATTGTAGCTTTTGTTAATTTATGGGGCTAATTATACTTTGACTTATAGTTGAAGGAATAGTTATGCTCTGCAACCGTGTGCACCATGCAAAACGAAGTCGTTTTGACTAAAAATGCGCGTCTCATTTTAAAAAAAAAAATTCAGGTTCGATTCCCCTCAACAGCATTATGTTGTTCATTCATTGTGGATTTTTAGTTCATTCATTGTGGATATTTAGTTCATTCATTCTGGATTTTGTGTTATTCATTCACGGTGGATATATAGTTATGAATTTGTGGATATATAATTCAAATTATGCACAAAAAAGTGCTATTGTCGGGAATCGAACTTGATTTTTTTTTTAAGTGGGACCCGCATTTTTAGTCAAAACGACGTCGTTTTTGCACGATGCACACGGTTGCACAACATAATTTGCGTAGTTGAAGGACTTATTTGACCGTTATCCCAAAAAAGTATAAGACATGGGCCCTGTTTGGTAAAAAGTTGGCCTATATGCCAATTTTGACTTATTTGACCACTATTAATTGTTTGATTTAGTTAAAATATCAATATAAATGTTTGGTTAATTAGCTTTTTACAACTCCAAAAGGCTAAAATTGAAAAAGCTAACCCAAGCAACTTTTTCAATTAGCTTTTTGAGAAAAGAAATTATACCAAACAGCTAACAACTAACAGCTAATTTACCAAACACTTTTCTACAATCAGCTAATGTTATCAACTATTTATTGCATCTAATTAACACAATCAGCTAACAATTAACAGCTATCTGCTAACAGCCATTTTACCAAACAGGGCCATGATCTTTTTTAACAGTTTAGTTTGTTTATTTATTTATTTATTTATTTATTTTTTTACCTCTGAAAATACATCATTTTTGTTTTATAATAAAAACAAAAGTATATTTGATATTCTAGATATCATTTACACAATTACACCCTGGCATTTTATGTGTACTATTTACTATTTAATGATCAAATTAATCATTCTTTGTTAATAATTAATTTATGTTCCTTATAATTTTAAAATTGACTTTTTAAAATCAATAATTATTTAATTTAGTTGTTATAATAATAATAATAATAATAATAATAATAATAATAATAATAATAATAATAATAATAATAATAATAAGTCTCAATCAAGATTATATCTTTGATTTATATACCTCTTTTTGTATGCTAATAAATGTATACATTTTTACTTTAAATCAAATTAGGCGCGTGAATAATACATAGTCACATAGATTATATCATTAAAAATAAGTCTTGTACTCTTGTGTGAAATCGACTCAATAAATGGCTTGGAATGCTCAACTTTTAGTTAAACATATACTTCATTTATCTCATTTTACTTGTCATGTTTATTATTTATTGGTCAACTCAACTCATTCTTCTTTGATTATTTTATTTAATATTTTAATTTTTTTTGTGTGTTTAATAAGAGTAATACTTTTATTATAGTTTCTAAATATATAAATTTTATACACAAATAATAAACTCATTATTATGAAAAATTAAATTAAAAATAATTTCGGTAAAACTTCATAAGCAAACTAGACGCATAAAATTAAAGTGAGGAAATAATACATTTCTATGAACCAATAAAAAAAGTATTACATTTTTAACTATAAATGATATTACACATCTCACTTAGCCGGTCACGCACAAGTCCTACTCCATCATCTTTTATTCTAAAACTAATATAAAATCACATGTATACATTAAAATTTAATTTAGTGGTTTTGGATAAGCATATCGCTATTGTGATAATATTCAATAATCAATCTATAATTTGCACACCAAGATCAAATAATTAGAGAAATAGACAGACCATAGTTTGCATTAATCACTCTATAAAACTACCGTACCACACACACAACAAGAACAACAACAAAATCTAGAGAGAGAGAGAGAGTGTGTGTGTGAGGTAGAGCGAGAAGATGTTTGCAGCAGAGAATGGCCTGAAAGGAGACCCAAGGCTTCAGGACATTACTAAAGCCATTAGAGTCGTTCCCAACTTTCCTAAACAAGGTTTCTACTTCACTCCCTCTGTCTGCATTCTTTCTTGAATTTCTCTTCCTTTTTTTCTTTTCCTTGTGTTTTTTTTTTTTTTTTTTTGTTTTTAAAATGATTTTGTGTGCATAAGAGAAATGAAATTTGATGTAAATGCATGTTCCCTTTGGGCCCTTTTCTTTGTTTTTGCAGGCATAATGTTCCAAGATATCACCACTTTGCTGTTGAATCCCAAGGTCTTCAAAGACACTGTTGAAATATTTGTGGATAGATACAAAGATATGGGCATCTCAGTTGTTGCTGGTAAATTCTTCAGATTTCTGGGTTTATTTGCTTACACATTTCTGGGTTCTTAGCATATTCATTTATTTGTTTATGTGTTCTTCAGTAGTTGTTGCTATCTTGAGTGTATATTTTGGGTTAATGGTCAGTAGTGGGGTACAACTTGTCTATTTTATATTGAAGAATTTCCAGACCTTAGTTTCTCCAAGTTGCCAATTGTTAATTGTTGTTAATTGGGGGCTTATAAGATGTTTGGGATTTTACTAGATTTAGTAGATAGAAAATGGGACATCATAGATTTCTTGGATACCCACAATATCTTTGCCTAGATTAGTGTTGGAAGTGGTTGATAAGAGGTTTTGGATTTTTCTTCTAAACTGCAGAACATCTTATTCAGTGGGCATATTGATATGCAATGAAGTTTCTTTTCCTTTGTAGGGGACCAATGGTTAGTTTGAAGTTTAGCTGGCAATATGAATTGCATCTAGACATGAACTTTTGAAATTGTCTTCTGATAGTGATCTCCACCATATAAAACTTTTGAATTTTCCTGTTTATTAAATTTTGTCTGTTTTCTTTTCTAATTTTCTCTCCCATCGTGTTCTATTTCATAGGAGTTGAGGCTAGAGGGTTCATGTTCGGTCCACCTATCGCCCTAGCAATCGGTGCCAAGTTTGTTCCGTTACGTAAGCCAGGAAAATTGCCAGGTATGCTGTGTAAAATCGTGTTTCAAGTACAAAAGAAAACAGCTTTTTTTCATTTTTTGGTATCGTTTCTTCTAATCGACCTTGTTATAGTTGCATTGAGATAAGTATTAAGTTATTTCTTTGATAGATTCGCGACATTTTAATTGAGTGCTTCGTTTTCTTTTATTTCACTATCATAATCTTGATCTGGATTTACAGGTGAAGTGATCTCGGAAGCCTATGAACTAGAGTATGGTCGGGATTGTTTGGAGATGCATGTGGGTGCCGTAGAGAAGGGGGACCGGGTAGTGGTAATTGACGATTTGATAGCTACAGGAGGGACTCTCTCGGCTGCCATAAACCTTCTAGGTAAGTCGAACTATTCTTGGTCCCGTCTTTATGTTAATTTCCTAATTTCTTTTCGACTTTTGATTGCCAGTTCTCTAGTGGTTGCCTGACAAAAAATGTTTTGCTGCCTTTACTAGAACGGATGGGAGCTGAAGTCGTTGAATGCGGTTGTGTTATTGGATTGCCAGAAGTCGAGGTAGTGCTTAGTGTACTTTCTTTATGCCTTGTCTTTTCATTATAAGCCTTTTTTTTTTTTTCCGGAACGTCTTCTTGATACCATAACTTAGCCGGAAAAGTTGAAACGAGTTATAGGTTTCTGGTACGAAAAGGATTTTGTTAGCTGTAAGGGTGGGTATAGTTTGCTAAATTTCTTCAAGCAATTCTAACCACCACGAGGAAAATTAAAACGGTCTTGCAGCCTTAGCCGAAAGCCGCCAAATTGGACCAAAAGTACATAAAACGTGCCAAATTCACATGAATATGAGTCTATGTTGGAAAAATAAACTTTCTTATGATCCTATATAGCTTAAGTTATTGAGGAAGTGCTTAAATCGGGTTTCTGACTAGTGACATCTACGGTTGTTAAGATCATGGTTTACCAGATATCCCCGAGATTTGACTTTCTTGTATGGTTGTTCAGGGACAAAACAGGCTAAAAGGGAGGCCAGTTTATATGCTTGTCGAACCCCGGGAATTAGATGACTCGTTTTGAAATTTCGAGGTACAAAATCGAACCGAGAACAGGGTATGATCGATCAATTGAACGTCCTTACAACGTAGAATATTTGTTCCGTTGCATATTTCGTTCCCAACTGCAACACAGACATGCAGAAACATTGAATAATTTTATGTGATTCTTTAAAAATCATTTTTTTTTTTTTTTTTTTTTTTTTTTGTAGATATGGAAATTGACATGCTGGAGTCTATCAAGAAGAGATGATGATGGGAAAAAAAGCTTCCAAATCTTTCACATCAACTAATGATTCTATACCA